TGTCCCTCTTTCCCCTGGGAGGTGAGCCATTCACATTCTCAGTGTAGACTCAAGAATCAGCCCTAGCTGGGTGTGGTGGTGAGTGCCTTTAATGCCTGCACCTGGGAGGTAGGAGGCAGGGAGGGGTTCAAAGATATCCTGAACTACACAGTTCAAGGCCAGCCTGGGCTACTCAAAACCTTGTCTCAAAAATACAATCAGTTTATGCTTATCTGTAACCCTCTACCTCATCCGTTTACTTCTGGTATTCTCCTGTTTCTCCCTCTGCTAGAACTCCTGGGAAATCGTTAAAAATGCAGAGCTTAGGGCCCTCTCTCTCCCCGGCCTTTACATGTCTGCAGTTCTGTAGTCTGACAGGGGATATGGATGCCTCGGTTTAACAAGCACTAAAGAAGACTGTAAAAGAAATGATCACAGACTGCCAGGCATATTGCTAAATGACCTTTTTATCTCACTTCCTCTGATACTCTAAAGGACCAATTTCAAGATGTTCAGATTGGGGTTGCTGGAAAGCCTCTGCTTCAGGTATAAGGGAAGTTTTTTTACTCCCTAGAGGAAGAGTAATCTTTCAAGTCAACCCAAGAGGAAGCTTTTTAGAACCAGAGGGAAGAGTCCAGGCTTTCTGAGAACTCTAGCCATAAAGAGCTGAAACAGATTTTTTGCAAAGCTGTTGTTGGGGAAGAACCTAGGGGTGGGGGTAGCTCCTCCAGGGTCTGCCTTCTTGGGGGTCTCTTCCAGACTGGCTGGAGCCAGGCCTCTCTAATCCTGCAGTAATCATTCCCAGCAGTTAGCTGCTCTGGGCCTCATCCAGGGTCTGAAATATTTAAGTCAGCCATGCCTTCCAGATGTACAGAACGAGACCATTTCTACCTCTAAGGGCATGGACTCCATATTCTACTCTCCCTAGAATGCCTGATGTGTTCTCAGGAAACCCTTCAGAGTTTCTGGTGAGGGCTGTACAATCAGCCTAGAGAAATAGTACACATTTGCCTGTTTGTCTTGCTCCACCCTCCTAGCAGACACCCCCACACAGCACAAACCAGAATGATGAGGAGGAGGGAAACTAACACCCAGTACACAAACACATTCCACTCCATACCTGCCTAAAACTCCCCACGGCAAGATCCAGCACAGAGTGTGTTCAGGAGCCATTGGAGCCTAGAAGGCAGGAAGAGGTCGGTCCCTGTAGCCTGCATATGAAGTTCCCAGGAGCCACTTTCTATCCACATACTCAAGAAAGTGGCTTGAGGCAAATCACCTGGGATGAAACATGTAATTCTGTGTGCAGCTGACTTAAGAATGTCCCAGAGACCTCCTGGAAAGGTCTGGCCCAGCGGGGTCAAATTGGATCTGTAGCCCTGTTTTCAGACCGACACTGTGTCACACATGGCTGTGAGGAGGCAACTTTACTTTAGGTCGTCAGTAGCTGTTACTGCGTGGACTTGAGAAGAGACCAAACTCACCTTGGTCTCCTGTGGCCCAACTACTCAGGCAGTGGGTATGGTTCACACAGCTGTAAACTTAAGCCCTTCCACAATGTACCTGGTAAACCAGGGAGGAAGGGAGCCCTAGGCACCTCCCTAAAATACAGGCCAACTTCCTGTTTGGGCCTGTGGGTGGGACTTTATGAGTCTAAGGGAAGCCTAGCCATGCCCTGTGGGGGACCAGGACAACAGCTTTCTCACCTGGGTTGATAACTACTCCAGGGAATGGGGCGGTACTAGTTCTGCTAGGACAGTCCCGGTGTGTGCGAGAGTGTGTGTGTGTGTGTGTGTGTGTGTGTGTGTGTGTGTGTGTGTGGTGGGGGTTATGAAACTCGAGAGTTCTTTGTCTGCTTCACAGGGATTTTCCCCCTTCTGGCTGTGGGCAGAGTGGACCGGATTTATAGCCCCTTAGTAAGGCAGCCAGGTAGCTTAGCCGTCCGTCATATCTGCCCTCCCCCAGGGTCAAAAGTCAGTACGCTGTGCAGTCAACAGGCCAGAGCGTAGACCACCGTCAGCCTACTTTGGGGCTGGGTACTGGGTCGGGCTACTTTTGGGTTGGTACTAGGTTGGCTGTTGGGGGGGTGGGGGGGAGTGCGGGGCAGACCACTCCCCTCTCTGGGTGGGGGGGCGCGGCTTCAGCCGCCCCGCCCCACTCTTCCAGGTCCGGCCTGGCGGGAGCCGGCAGCCGGCAGCCGGGAGCGCGGAGCCCGGAGCCCGGAGCGGGCTGGAGAGCCAGAGTTCTATCGCGGCGAGGAAGTAGGCACGCTGGAGCCGGAGCCCGGCCCGAGAGGGAGCAGCGGCGCAGGTGACGCTGGGTGAGTGGTGGGGCGGACGGGGTGCAGGAACTCCGGCCTCCCGCACATGCTCGCCCTGGAGAGAACTTTCCGCGTCTTGAGAAACGGGATTGGGATGAGGAAGGGGTCCGCACTCTATGGAGCGCAGGCAAAGCCTGAATAGCAAAGGGACAGGGAAACTTACAGACGCACCAACACACACACATGCACAGACCCATGCATTCGCTCAGGACACGAACACACGTGCGCTCAGGAAGGGACAAGCAGAGCGAGATACCCTAGCAGTCCCAGAGGCAGTGCCACCGGCCCGCGCGACCCCCGGAGAGATGGACGCTGAGTTTTTCTGCCCGAGGCCGAGGGAAAGGGGCCGCCCTGAGACTGTCGGCGGGGGCGGGCGGGGTTTGTCGCATCAGGCGGTTCCTGCTTCCCGGCCGCTTGCCTGCAGGTGAAGACCAAGGCGTAAACAGGCGTTGAGCACGTGACTGCTTCGCGGACCGGTGGGCAGTGCTCCCCTAACCCTGTCTAGGCAGGGATACTCTCTCATCCACTTCTCCCCGCGTCCTGGCATGCTTGCTTCGCCCTGTACAGGGCTTTACTCCATACTCCACCTGGGGTGATGATAAACTCTCTCACCCAGAATGGGAGCTCAGCGCCCCCGGGGGCTTGGGTGGTTCAGGAGGCCGGGAGAGTACTGGGCGGGGTGGGGTTACTTGGACTCCTTGCCTTCCTGCTCAGTGACACACTCTCGGAGCCGGCATCCTTGAAAGGTATCCGAAGAGTACCTTGATGGCCCCTGACAGCTGCCTGGGTCTCACACACTCAGCGCCGGGAGCAGCTGTCTATAGGTCCTCTTCCCTTCACCACCGACTTGCAGGACTGAGCACAAAAAGCCCACCCATGCGAGAGCAACAGTCTCCCCTCGCCCCACACCCCTCGCCACGGAGAGTGCCTAAGAGTAAATATATCCCTAGACCCCGAGGGGAGTTTGCCTTCCCTAGGAGGAAGAAGGACCAGATCCCGCTCTCTCGGAAAATGAAGGAGGGGGCTGCTGCCCCAGGTCTCTCTCCCCCCCGCCGGCCCCCACCCTCATCCCCCACCCCTCACCCCGCCACACGCTGAGCCCAGCTGCTGCCTGAGCTTCTGGGCAGGCAGCCAGGAAGGGGAGGAGGCTCTCGGTGCCCCGGGAGGCAGGGATCAGGGCAAGGCCAGAGGAGGGGGTCTCCATGGGGGAGAGGGGTTCAGTCTGTCCTTACGAAGCTGAGGGACTGGAGTGAGCCTGAGGGTGGCTGGGCTGTGTTTCCCTTTCCAGGGAAAAAGAAAGAAAAACAACCCTTTCCATGGAGCTAAAAATAGAGCTGAGAGCCGGCCAGGCTGTGGCCTGGAAGAGGGGGGGATGCTTCTTCCTGGGGCTGAGCCCAGTTCTGGCAGGCCTTGGCCCTGGGAGGGGGGGGGTGGCAGCAGAGAAGGGAGGGTGGCCTTGCCAGAGGATGTGGATGTCAGCTGACCTGAGCAGGTCACAGAGACCCCTCAGGGAAAGTGGGTAGTTTGTGAATGTGATGTAAGAAGTTGTCTGCGCGGCTGAACCCCGCCGTCACTGCGCGGAAGAGGGTTGGTTGGGAGACTAAGTGTATTTTAAGATTGGGACTGGATGCAAAGGACTTGTGAAAGTGCACGCCAGGCACGAAACACCAAGTCTTCTGTGAGTTGGCCCGAAGGATTACGGAATGAAGGAATATGGAACCACGTGATGGATGAGACCGTGATTGTGGCTGCCTGAGACAGAATGTGGGAAAGGTCGTGTGGGTGTTGAGACTGTTGTTTTCGAGAGGGTAAAAATATTTGTGACCCTGAGAAAGACACTGGGATGTCTGCTGCGGAGCCCGTGTAGGTTTGAACCGTTCATTCTTGCGATTACTGGGGGGGCCAGGTGCCCCCCCCCCTTTTGAGCAGCGACCCTTCTCAGCGCAGATGACCCCGAGGTTAGGCGAGGGAGCCTGGAGCCATGCCAGGGGCAAGCCTGGGCTCGCGGCCTGAGGGCGCTGCGCCGGGGAAGTGGGGTCGGTGGGGGGCTCTGGAGGTGTGGGGGGGGTGGTGGTGGCTGAGGAGTTGCGGGAAGGGGCCGCCAGGTGGCGCCGCTTCTGAAAAAATCCTAGTGTGTGACCTCCAGCCTGCTGGGGGTGGGACAGCCAGCCACCGAGCCAGTCCCTCAACTTGTGCCCGGGAGCCGGCCAGCGGAGAGGGCCGGCTGACCCTCGGCCTCCTCCTGGACTGGGAAGCCGGGGACTGGGGAGGGTAGCCTGGTCTAGGGGAGCGGAGGGGGAGGGGCGGGCGGGCGGGCGCGGCGCCTGGGCTCTTTGTGCTGGAACAATGACCAGCCGCCGCCGCCGCCGCCGCCGCCGGCCCGAGGGCCCCGGCAGGGCCAGCCGATGACCCGCTCGACGACTCTCGAGCACACCCCCCCCCCAAGTCTCCCCACACGGACGCAGTCGCGGGGCCTCCCCGGGAGGGACCCTGGGCGCCGCCGCCGCCGCCGTGCCATCCATCCCCCGCGTGCGCCCTGGCGGGCACGCGTGACGTGGGGGTGCTTGCGCGCGTCCGCGCCCCGGGGCGGGGACGCCCCTCGGACCCCTCCCCCGCTCCCCGCGCGCGCGCGCGCGCACCGCCCACTCGGGCCGGGCGGGGGCTGGCCGGGGCTGGGGGCGCCGGCTAGGCGGAGGCGGGGCCGGGCCGGGCCGCTGCGAGTGGCCGCGCGCGGGCTGGAGCGGGCGGGCGGCGCGCCTGTGGAGTGCTGCTGGGGCGGCCCGGGGCTGAGCATGGAGCAGCGCGGCGGAGGTGAGGGGGCCGGGGCTCAGGGTGCCCCCGCTTGTAGGCGATGCGGTCCGGTGGGGAGGTGGCATTCCACGGACGCCCCCCCCCCCCGGTCCGTGGAAGGAGCGGACAGTTGTGGGTGGGCCGGGGGACTCCGGGGCTTTTCAGTCCCGGAAAGGGAACTCGTGATCCCAGGCTGGATCCCGCTTGGCTGGTCTCCGGAGTTTGAGTGTGTGTGTTGGGGGGACTTTCCCCAACTCTCCAACCCCCAACCCTGAGGTCAGAGAGTTGGGACCCGGGCCAGACTCACCCCGGGCCCTGGCGCGGCCCCAGGCTCCAGAACCCCCAGCCCAGTGCGGGGGGTGGGGGGCGCAGGGGGTCTGTGTACCATAGTGATAGGTCAGGGGCGTGCTGGGGGAGAACCGGGGGTTCATTTTTCCCATAACCACAAACGCATTTCTCAAAATGGAGCCGCTTGCCCCTCCTTCTCTCTTGGGCCTCAAGAGCGGGAGCCAGGCTGGCTAGGCCTGGCTTTCCAGACTCCTGGCCCTCAGAGCCCAGCTTTACGTCTCTCTGGCTTTGGGGGCCCTTGCCTGCGTGGCTTCAGCGACCCTAACTCTGGGGTCTGCCTCTGGCTCCTCGTGTCTGGGTCTCTTGGCCTCTTTGTCTCTTGACTTCTGGTGTCTGTCTCTGGCTACAGCAGCCCTTGCCCTTCTTCCTTCGGGCTCTCACTGTCTGTGTTCCCTGGGGTGGGAAATGAGAACAGCATTGCCAGCCCTTTCCCACTCTTCCCTCCGTCCTGTGGAGCGATCTCTACCCCCGGCCGGACCTTGTGGGGGCAATCTCAGCTCCTGGCTCTACAGAGAAATGTGTGATTGCTCCTCTTCGAATCTCTAGTTCACTTACTACCCTGGCTCGCTGTAACTCCTCCCTCAGGCTGGACTTCTGTGATTTCTCAGTCTTAACACTTAGGGACGCTTAATGGAAGACAACATAGAAAGACCAGATGGGGTAATGAGGTCAGATACTGTGAGCTCACCTTTCCTCACACCCTTAAGTTTAAAAAAGAAAACAACAACAACAAAAAAAAAGGATTTTAAAAAGAGGGGAGGGACTTCCATCCACCCAGGTGGTCTTGAATATCACCCGGGTCCCAACCCACCCCCAGAAATGCTCACTCATACAAGGTACTCCAAATGTGCCTTTCACACACCTTCCTGTTCACACACTTGTGTAAGATGGACACAGTAATTGGTGTAACTGTCCTGTCAGAAATGAAGATGTCCTACAGAGACACTGTCTCTCAATCTATGAGAGGCTTGAAACAATGCACCCCAAAGAAGTGAGGCTTTCCCTAGGAATTTCATACTGAGAGAAGTTAATGGCTTCTTGAGGATGGGTGACTTCAACTGACTTGGGACATAGACAGTGACCCCAAGTTTGGTGATATTCACACAAAAACTCCCATATATGTGGACAAACTGGTATTATCTGCCCAAACATTTTTTTTGTCATATAGTCAACATTCAGACCCCATGGATTCATTTATTACATATACATTAATAACTTTTGTGTACTTTCTCAGTAATAAAACTCACAGTCTTGTACGACATAAGAATTCACACATACAGCTGGCCATGGTGGCACAGGTTTAGAATCCTAGCCCTCTGAAAGCTGAGGCAGGAGGATCCATGAGTTTGAGGCCTGCCTGTGCTACGTAGCACAGCCCTGTTTCATCAGTCATGTCCCCCACATCACACACACACACACACACACACACACACACACACACACACACGTACGGATGTACTGACATCTGTCTAAACACACATCTACTCACTGTATTTTCACAAATACTGCTCATTTTTATGCTTCTGTAGGTGTGCTCACACCCACAAGTAAAGGCACACACTCTTATGGAATTCTCTGTTCACTTCTTGGCCCCTGCTCCACATGATGACTTCAGCAGATGCCTAAGTCTTGGTCATCAGCAGCCTTGGGACTGGGAGGGAGTTCCGGGTTGGAGGCTTGCTGTCCCTTCCGGGAAGGAGCAGGACTGGGGAGGTGGAGCCATCTTACTTGAGATCCTACCAGAGGTGGTGAAACCCCATAGGGGTACTCTGAAGAGTAACTGAAGCAGGAAGGTTTGTAAAGGTTGGCACTTGGCTGGGGTCTGTGTAGGCTCCCTTAGTCCCGAGTGGATGGCAGAAGCTAGGAGTTGTCATGGAAACAAGCATAACCAGCATCAACCTCTGGGAGGTAGGAGACCCCAGAGGGCACCTGTGGGATCCTGAGACCTGTGAGCTTTCCTGTTTGGCCAGCTCCACCCTTGCCGCCTCCGTGTCTGGGAGAAACTGAGGCCCAGCAGTGGGAGGCTGGACACTGCCTGGCTGTGGCTCTTTGTTCCCTAATTACCATCTGAGTTGGTGATGGCATCCCTGACGTGTCCTCTGCCCAAACAGCCCAGTAACGAGGCCACCTGTCCCAGGAGAGTAGGGCCCTGTACTGGGAGCTAGTAGTTAGGGATCTCTGCCCAGTCCGAGTCTTGGCCTTTATAGGGGATGCAGGTTAGGGCTTAAGACTGGGTCTTCCCTGCCAGGGAAACTGCATAACCTCCTGGGTCTCCTAATTCCTTCATCATCTCTGGTCGAATTATTCCTTAGCCTTGTCCAGACTAGAGCTGGGTAGTGAGTGGTGTAAGGCCCAGGGAAAATTGAGGTTCCTGCCAGTTCCTGGAGAGGAAGCCTTGTTACTATGTTGGGAGTGTGCTGTCTGGAGGAGGGGTCAGGAGCAGGCCTGTAGGGGTAGAGGACTCACGGTGTAGGGGCTCTGACACCAATGCCCTGCTCACAGGTTGCCCTGGAGGCCCCTGGCCAGGCCTGAGCCTCTGCCACCATGGCCATTGTGCACACACTGCCAGTGCCACTGGAGCCCGCACGTGAGACAGCCACTGCCCCACAAGCTCCAGCCATGGGCAGCGTGAGCAGTCTTATCTCAGGCCGGCCCTGTCCCGGGGGATCTGCTCCTCCACGCCACCATGGTGTCCCTGGGCCCACCTTCTTCCGCCAGCAGGATGGGCTGCTACGGGGTGGCTACGAGGCACAGGAACCACTCTGCCCAGCTGTGCCTCCCAGGAAGGCTGTCCCAGGCACCAGCTTTACCTATATCAATGAGGACTTCCGGACAGAGTCACCTCCCAGCCCGAGCAGTGATGTTGAAGACCCGAGGGAGCAGCGGGCACACAATGCCCACCTCCGTGGGCCCCCACCAAAGCTCATCCCTGTCTCTGGGAAGCTGGAGAAGGTAAGGGCCAGCCCGTTTGGGAGGGTCTGGGTGGAATCAGGAGCCCCTTAGGGAAGCTAGAATTTGGAAGCACATATAGAGCAAAGAATGTGGACTAGCTCAGGGAAATAGCAACCTGTCTGAGCCCCATTTTCTGTGTCTGTATAGTTAAGGTTATAGGCTAATCTTCGTAGGTTCCTGTTAGAATTAGTACTTAGCATAGTACCCAGAACCTTCAAGTGAACGATATTAGTTGCTTCGATTATTTTTTTATTTTTTGGTTTTTTTTGAGACAGGCTTTCTCTACATAGCCCTGGCTATCCTGGAACTCACTATGTAGACCAGGCTGGCCTCCAGATATCTGCCTGCTTTTGCCTCCTGAGTGCTGGGATTAAAGGCATTAGCCACCATGCCTAGCCAATTGCTTCAGTTGTGATTACACAGATGTGGGTCTTTGGGCAAAGCCTTTAACTTTCCTGGGGCCTCTATTTCCTCATTTTTTAATATGAGAAGAGGATAGTGTTTTGCTTGCATGGCAATTGCAGTGTTTAAAAATGAGCATTTTGAATTACTTAACCTAAGTGGACATTTAGAAGGCCTATTGTCAGTGGGAGCAATTGTTTTTAACTTACAGGGGTGGAGGACCCTGTGTGGGAAGGCGGAAAGTCTGACAGGGTTTTGAAAGATCAAGGTTTGGGGCTTGCGGAGATGGCTCATTGGGTAAGATGTTTGCTGCACAAGCGTAAGGATCTGAGTTCAGATCCCCAGGACCCATGTAAAGAGCTGGGCATTATGGTACAGGACTGTGATCTCAGTACTTGTGGGGCAGAGACACTCAGATCCCTGGGGCTTGCTGGCCAGTCAGACTGGCTGAATTGGTGAGCTCCAGGATCAGTCAGAGACTGTATCAAAAATTAGGGGGGAGTAACTGAGGAAGGCTCCTGACTTTGACATCTGACCTCCACACACAGACACCTGTGTGCACACATGCACATATTCATGCACACACACACACACACACACACTTTGATTAGCATTTGAAAAGATCAAGCAAGCAAGCTGGGCTTGGTATCTCACACCTGTAATCCCACTTCTTTTTTTTTTTTTTTTGGTTTTTCGAGACAGGGTTTCTCTGTGTAGCTTTGCGCCTTTCCTGGAACTCGCTTTTGGAGACCAGGCTGGCCTCGAACTCACAGAGATCCGCCTGGCTCTGCCTCCCGAGTGCTGGGATTAAAGGCGTGCGCCACCACCGCCCGGCTAATCCCACTTCTTAAAAGGCAGAAGACTTTGCTTGTATTCAGAGCTAGCCCTAGGGATACATAGTGAGTTCCAGGCCAATAGAGTAAAACCCTGCCTCAAACCAACAAAAAAAAAAAAAAAAATTAAAAGAAAAAGAAAGTGATCATGCAGATCCTCCTCACTGTCACATGGTACCTCATTTCAGAACATGGAGAAAATCCTGATCCGGCCAACAGCCTTCAAGCCAGTGCTACCCAAACCTCGGGGGGCACCATCCCTACCTGGCTTCCTGGGTCCTCGAGCTGCTGGGCTATCTGGGAGTCAGGGCAGCCTGACACAGCTGTTTGGGGGGCCAGCCTCCTCTTCCTCGTCTTCTTCTTCCTCCTCTGCTGCTGACAAACCCTTGGCACTGAGTGGCTGGGCCAGTGGCTGCCCATCGGGAACACTGTCAGACTCTGGCCGAAATTCTTTATCCAGCTTGCCTACCTACAGCACCGGAGGTGCTGAGCCGACCACCAGCTCTCCAGGTGGGCACCTGCCCTCCCACGGCCCTGGCCGAGGGGCGCTGCCCGGTCCCGCCCGAGGGGTCCCTACTGGGCCCTCCCACTCAGACAGTGGCCGATCCTCTTCCAGCAAAAGCACAGGTTCCTTGGGGGGCCGTGTAGCTGGGGGCCTCTTGGGCAGTGGTGCCCGGGCCTCCCCGGGCAGCAGTTCGGGTGGAGACCGCTCTCCGCCCCCTCCACCCCCTCCGCCCCCTTCGGATGAGGCCTTGCTACATTGTGTCCTGGAAGGGAAGCTTCGAGACCGAGAGGCAGAGCTGCAGCAGCTTCGGGACAGTATGGATGAGAGTGAGGCTACCGTGTGTCAGGTGCGGCCCAAGGCAGTCTCGGGGTGGTGTGGTATAGCATCTGGAGGCCTCTAGGAACAATGCATGGAGCATTGCTTTGGGGGAGGGAGAGGATGAAGACCCATTGTGTGACACCCTTAACCTTCAAAGGAGTAAGGAGGTAGGGTTTGTGAATTGGATCCGGCGCTGGCTCGGAGCATCTGTTACACTTGAGGAAGTTACTTAACCTTGCCAAACCCCAGTTTCCCTGTCTAAATGGGGATAGTTCGGACTTCCTAGGCGGGCTATGAGATTAAATAAGGTGAAAGGTATAAAGCGCCTAGAATAATGCCTGACACCTAGGAAATGGTGTATCTGTGCTTGCTTTTCGCCTAGAATAATGCCTGACGCCTAGGACATGGTGTATCCATGCTTGCTTTTACTGTTGTAAATGTACTGAATTTGTGTGCTCCGCCCTCCGCCACCCAAGCCGGGAGGCTAGAGCTCGGGATCTGGGGGGCCTGAAGGTCTCCAGCCTGCTTCCTTTCTCTAGGCATTCGGAGCGCGGCAGAGGCACTGGCCACGAGAGCGGGAGGACTGTGCAGCGCAGGCGCAGCAGGCCACGCAGCGTGTCCAGCGGGCCCAACAGCTGCTGCAGCTGCAGGTGTTCCAGCTGCAGCAAGAGAAGCGCCAGTTGCAGGATGACTTCGCACAGCTGCTTCAGGAGCGAGAGCAGCTGGAGCGCCGCTGTGCTGCCTTTGAGCGGGAGCAGCGGGAACTCGGGCCGCGGCTGGAGGAGACCAAATGGGAGGTAGGCGAGGTTAGGTGCTGGGCAGGCTGGAGGGGTCACACTGGGCCACGCTTGGCAGACGAGGCCCGGGGTAGCTACCCTAGGGGCTCTGCCCTTCCACGTCTTTCTGGGTTGGGGTTTCCTTGTGCCTCTGTGTTGGAACTCCCTGGTCTGATCTGGTGCTAGTGGCATTCATTGCCTTCCCTATTAGGTGGGTACTGTTAATACCTCCATTTTATGAATGAGGAAACCTGAGTCTCCAGAAGGGCTGGAGCCTAGACCTAAATTAGCAGGGGCTGGGCTGAGATACAAACCCAGGCAGTTTGGGTTTTTTTTGTTTTGTTTTTTGTTTTTAAGATTTATTTATTATGTATATAGTGTTCCGGCATGTATGCCTACATGCCAGAAGAGGGCATCATAATCTCATCCTAGATGGTTGTGAGCCACCATGTGGTTGCTGGGAATTGAACAGCAGCTGGTGCTCTTAACCTCTGAGCCATCTCTCCAGCCCGGCAGTTTGGTTTTGATGCCTGTTCTTACCCAAGATGCCTTTCACGTGGACATGTGGCCACTGTCCTGGACTTCCCCACTCCACCCCTGCAGCGCCTGCCACCCTCTCCAGGCCTAGGCAGTGCTTTTACACCCCCTAGTATAAGGAGACCAGCATCAAAGGGAAAAGATCTGGGTCTCTTTTTTTTTTTCCTCTCGCCTCTTTCTAGAAGTATATCTATGGATGCGTCCCTAGGCTCCCATCCTGCTGCGCCTCTATGTATAAAATAGCGAGAGAGCATCTCCTCTCCTTCCATGCCCAGCATGGTACCCAGTGCCCAACCCCCAGGGAGGTCTCCCTCACCATCCTTCCTCACTGCCCTCTACCCACAGGTGTGCCAGAAATCGGGTGAGATCTCTCTGCTGAAGCAGCAACTGAAGGAATCTCAGGCAGAGCTGGTCCAGAAGGGCAGCGAGCTGGTGGCGCTGCGGGTAGCCCTTCGAGAGGCCCGGGCTGCCTTGCGGGTCAGCGAGGGCCGAGCCAGGGGCCTGCAGGAGGCAGCCCGAGCTCGGGAGCTAGAGCTGGAGGCCTGCTCCCAGGAGCTGCAGCGGTACCCGCCAGGAGGCCGAGCGGCTCCGGGAGAAGGCTGGGCATTTGGATGCCGAGGCAGCCGGACTCCGGGAGCCCCCCGTGCCCCCTGGACCCCCAGCCACCACCGACCCTTTCCTCCTGGCAGAGAGTGATGAGGTTAAGGTGCAGCGGGCAGCCGCTGGGGCAGGCGGGAGCCTGCGGGCTCAGGTGGAACGGCTTCGGCAAGAGCTGCAGCGGGAGCAGCGGCGAGGGGACGAGCAGCGGGACAGCTTTGAGGGGGAGCGGCTGGCCTGGCAGGCAGAGAAGGAGCAGGTGATCCGCTACCAGAAGCAGCTGCAGCACAACTACATCCAGATGTACCGGCGTAACCGGCAGCTGGAGCAGGAACTGCAGCAGCTCAGCCTGGAGCTGGAGGCCCGGGAGCTCGCTGACTTGGGCCTGGCTGAACCAGCCCCCTGCATCTGTCTGGAGGAGATCACTGCCACCGAAATCTAGGCTTTGCAAGGGGCACAAGCCACAAGACCATCTGGGTCCCAGCATCCACTGAGCACTCCAGGTCTCGCAGCCGAAGGGCCTCTGCCAAGCATTCAGGTGGCCTTGTGACTTGAAGGAGCAAGATCAGACCCCTTGAAGTTCCATTCACTGTCCCCAGAGGCTCCTACCCACTGCACCATTTCACTCCCCAGCGGTCAGTGCCACTGCCAGCCCTGTTTGTCCCCAGATGTCTGCCAGCCCACTCCAGCTGGGAAGAGAAAGGGGCTACCCCATCTCCACATTCTACCTGCCTGAAGCCAGAGAGAGCCAGATGGCACCAGCTGCTCCAGATGTGCCTGCCCCCAACATGCCCAGGTGGAGGGACAGGGCTAGGACTGGGGTCTGATCCCCATGTCCCAGCTCTGCAAGCCTCTTCTGGACTGAGGGGGCTGAAGTCAGACCAAAGGAAGAACTCAGCAATGTCTTGTTTATTTGTGTTTGTGACCAAGCAGCCCCTCCGAATACCAGGTTTATGGCCTCGTTTTCACTTGTATATTTTTCACACTGTAAATTTCTTGTACAAACCCAAAGAAAAAATTAAAAAAAAAAAGTTTGTTTTTAAAAAAAGTCTGCTGGATAAAGAACTGCAGGCGAACTTGTCTGGCATCTGTCTGGAACATTTGTCCCCTCTGCTTGCTGGCTACTCACCTATCTCACGGAGTTCTTACCCCGGGGGGGGGGGGGGGGGATAGGGGGCTAATTCAGTCGAGTCAGAGGTCCTAGTGGACCACAACATGAGTCTTACTAAGGTCTGAGGAATTGGAAAAGCCTTCCACCCTGTCCTTTGTACTGAATGTTGCTTGAGACTGGGGGATGGATATAGTGACCTCCTTAAGGACTCTGAGTTTAAGCCTCTCAGAGTATGGGAAGCCAGGGGCATCATGAAGAACCTCACACCAGTTACAGGCTTCAGACTTGACTTTCTCTGCCCCCTCACTGAAGCGGTCCAGGACCAGGGAATGCAGACGACATAGGCTGCCCACTAGAACCTTGTCCATGGACATCCAGCTTATCTTAAACAGCCGGGGACTTCCAGACAGCCTGGAGTAGATCACAGCCACAGTATGGTGCTCTCAGGTGTCAGGAAGATAGGACAGAGGGGCCTCGGTATTGCAGGGTACCGGGGAGCAGCAGTAATCCTTAAGGTCAGTGGGAAGGGTCATGGGAATCCGTAAGAAGAGGGGAGAGTTTGGGGGCACTTGGAGGAGCCTGAAGGGCTGGGTTGAGAACCTGCTGTAGTTGCCTAGCCTCAGGGGGAGGGAGCTGGGGCGGGGACTGGGGTATTGTCAAGGGGTCCACGGGCAGAGGAACTGCCAGCAGGAAGGCTCTGGTCCTGAATGGCTAATGCGACAGAGGATAAGGGCAGCAGGCCAGGTCCCGGAACCCTGACCACAAGCTCCATAGGCTCGCGAGCCTTGTTCCTATATGCTCTGCGGATGGTGTCCACAGCTCCCTGGTGAGTCACCTGCTCCAGGCTTTCCCCATCCACTGCCACCAGCTCGAAGCCAGCCTGGCATGGAGATGGAACAGTCAGCGCTCACATCATTCCCACCCACCACCCAACCTGAAGGCAGTGGCCTTTCACCTCCACCAGCGAGGACACTCCTCCCCCATCTGGGTGCTGGGGATGGACAATAGAACTTTTGTGCCTGGAGCTGTTGGGGGCAGGGTGGGGCACAGACAATGGCCCTTTGTCCCTTGGGACTTGAGGTGGAACAGGATGGGCCATTCTCAGGCCCAGGCTAGCATGAGGGGACAGATTCTTCTCTAGGCCTGCCCATCCTACTGGCCTGACCTCTCTGCCCCCAAGCCACCGCCTACGACCTGGTCTGAACAGGCCTGGCTGGAAGACTAATGTGGACCAGCCCTGTACCCTTCAACCCTGGGCCTGAGGAGGCTTCATGCTTCACCCACCTGCAGGGCCCCACAGAGGAAAGCAGCACCTCCGGGAAAGATCTTCTCTATCTTCACCATGGGCTGCACCTTGGACTCGATGCCCCCAGAAATGCTGATGCCTGGGCAAAGTCCAAAGCAGAGTCATAACCTTAGCCCAAACCTTGAGCTCCCAGGAGAAGCATGGACTCCCATCCCCAAAATCAGCCTTGACTTCTTCCCACCTCCAAACCTAGATTTCCTAACTATACACCTTAGCACTCAGATTCCTTTCTTGCGGCCCCCCCCACCCTCCCCCCGCATCTTCTCTCAAGCCCCAGGCGTCCACCCTGCGTACCCAGTGCCTCCTGGACTCACCCAAAGACTGCTTCATCTTGGATAGTGTGACTGTCCTCAGCTCTCCAGTGGAGGCTTTCCAGGTCGTCTCCTCGGTTGCCCCACCAATTCCATTCTCCAAGGGCCCTTGCCCAGCTCCCACCTTGGCCTCCTGCCCATCCAGAGGTCGTGGAAGCAAGGGCCTTGCCTTCCGAGGCCTGTGGTAGCGCCCATTGGCTGTGGTGGCATTGGTGATGGGTGCTGGGGAAGGGGAGCGCATGCGCCCAGGGGACTTGCCTCGCCCTCGGCTGCGGCTGCGGCTGCGGCTGCGGCCTGGGGTCTGGCTCTGGTTCTGCTGAGTGCCCTCTTTACTTGGGGGTTCTGTCAGTAGCCAGTTAGGCCTGGGAGGCCGGGGAGCCACAGGAGGTGGTTGGGGAGGGGGTGTACATGCGCTTCGGCGAGGAGAGAAGGCATCAACTGGTACATCTTGTAGAGGGGGGATTCCTTTATGGTGGTGGCCAGGGGCAGAGGCACTGAGGGAGACCTTAAGGCCCCCTAGCCTCTCCCTTATCTCTCCGTCGTCATCCTCTGAACAGCCATTCACTGGCAGCAAGTAGAAGCCTCCACGGCTATCTGGGGAACAGGGTCAAGGTCAACTAGCTCTTCTTGATCATCAACCCCAGGGTAACCTTTCCAGACCCTGGTCTTTTCTGCTGTTGGTAGGGTTCCCGAGGAGTGTGTGTAAACAAGGCCTGGATTTGCTCAGGTCCATTGTAAAGGGACACTGCCCACCTATTACTAATAGCATCCTAGCACTTTGTATTGTAATACAGTTCAACTTTAGCATAGCCAAGAAACCAGATTTAAAAGTGTGTCATCTTTTTTTTTTTTTTTTTTGTTTTTCGAGACAGGGTTTCTCTGTGTAGCTTTGCGCCTTTTCCTGGAACTCACTTGGTAGCCCAGGCTGGCCTCAAACTCACAGAGATCCGCCTGGCTCTGCCTCCCGAGTGCTGGGATTAAAGGCGTGCGCCACCACCGCCCGGCAAAAGTGTGTCATCTTAAAACGCCCTTTACAGGAGTGTGGATGTGATGGCGATGGCCTGGAGGGCAGGGCTTTCCTTCCTGACCTCAGCGACGCTGCTTGGAGGCAAGGATGGAAGGCCTGTTCTCCCTGTTCCGATGTCCCCAGGCCTGTCCCTTTCCCCCAGGTTATGGGACTCTGACTGACCAGGCACAGGGGTGATGAGGTGACGCTTGGGTGGCGTGTCTTGCCTGGTTGGTCTCAAAGCAGAAGGCCGAACTGGTTGGAAGGGAGCACCAGGTCAGACAGAGGCCAGGCACTCCTGCCACACTCCCAGATAGGCATGCCAGCGGGCTCAGCAGCGTGAGCCACCCTCCACTCCCACCCGCAACTGGAGCTCAGGAGCCGGACGCCCTCCCCCAGCTGCTGACCTGCCCTGCTCTTGAGGGCCTCAAACGCCTCCAACTCCACGGGCATCACCATGCTGTCGAAGCGGCCGAGGTCCGTGGGGGCCACCACACTCCTGGGGAAGGCAGGGATGTGGGGTAAGCAGGGCTTGGGTCTGGAGGTGCCGGCATGGAGGAGCGTCAGCCCTAGGGTCCCTGGGGCTTCTGGCCCCTCCCCCTCTCTCAAGCCCCTCCCAACCTGATGTCCCTCAGCAGCAGCAGCTTCTCCGGCCTGTCCAGGATGGCCAGCAGGGGGCGCACCAGGTCCTCCACACCACCCTCATGGACATACTGTGTATAAACACCACAGATCAGACAGAAGCAGCAACTCCAAAGCTGGATGTGGGGAGACACCAGGGCACACGGGGACCCTGAGGCCCATCCAGCCATCCTCACTCTAAGATAGGTTCACCCTATCCAAGGTCCACAAGATGGTGTGTCAGTGACTTTGTGGATGCCTGTGACGAGCCGCAGATCTGCAACAAATAGCAACAGCAATCCTGGCGTCTGGACAGGCAACTCCCTAAGGCTTTTACATAGTCTCTTATTTAGCAGCCACTCTGAGATGATTCCTGTTTTACAGAGGGAGGAACTGAGGCTCAGAATTTGCTCAAAGCCATGCAGATAAGAAAAAATGAGAAAAGGCTGGAACCCAAGACATCCAGCTCTTGCTTGCTCCGATGCCGGAAAATAACGTGCAGCAACTGGACTCTTCCCCTACCCCTCGCCCAGGCAGAAAGAAGGAATGTAAGCCCAACACTAGGCTGTGGTCCTGGCTGTGCCCACCCTTTGTTCAGAGCTAGAATGGTGAGCTTGGGGAACGGGTGGCTCCACAGAAGGCCTCTCTAGTCAGTACCCTCTGCCTGGCACTGCCTGGATGCCACCAGCCCGGATGCCACACCCCATGGATTCTGGAGAAGGGAATACTGGGAGCCAAGTTACTTGGGCAGCACACCGCCCCCTGGTGGTGAAAAGGAGACAGCTTCAGAGAGACCCACGGATAGTTACCTCGTATGGGCATAGAATTAGAATTAGCAGGCGCTCTGGTCATCTGAGTGAATCATCAATAAATATTTAACAATAGATAAAGAATAAAGTGTGTGTGTGTGTGTCCTTAAACCACACACACAGTTACAGGGACTCATATCAACAATACGCTGCCATATATGTGCATGTCCCTCAAGCATGAATTCAGCATCCACTGTTAGAGGCACAATGTTAATAAGACCTTCTCCCAGAGCCTCGGGGACCCAAGTCAGAACAAGGGACAGATGAGCCTCATTCGGCAGTAACTGTAAACCACTGCAGTGGGGCAACGTGGGTTTTAGAGAAGGCTGAAGTTTCAGAACCGGCCTCTCAGAAGCGGTGGCTAGTCCACCAGCTCTTCCAGAGTGGACAAGGAGCGGCGTGGGACCTGGGGAGGAAAATGTCCCAAGGGCCTGCAGAATAACAAGGAAATGAAGGTCAAGGGCCACGAAGACCCTCCTACAGGGCTGCACAGGTTGAGCTCTATGTGACTAGCACCCCCTAAAACTATGCAGCTTATAATTTGTATCAGCTGAGTGGTGGCCCAGGAAAGCTGGGGTTAGCGGGTTGAGATGCCACACTGTGGAAGTCCGAGAAAGTGGGAGAAAGCGGCTTGTTCTCTGTTCTGCCTCATAAGGGAACTGTAAAGCAGTAAGAGGGCTGACTTGTAATTCTGGGTCTGGTGGATGTGGAAGGATGGCTCGGAGAGGAGACGGGAAGCCAGGTTCAGGGCAGCACTTGGTGGTCACGAAGGAGCCTTGCCTATCCCTCAGGCCCGGGCTCCATCTCAGAAGGTTTAGGGTGGGGCACTGGTTTGGATGCGGATCTTATGTAGAGCCTACAGGGTAAATAGAGCCACGGTGAAACGAAGTCCTGGTTTGCAGAGGTCGAGGGGGAATGGGGGATGAGGGAAAGGCGTCTGCCAAAGACACAGGTGCAGGGCCCCTCCTAGTGGCCAAAGCTCAGAGTTGCAAGCTCTCTGGAGCTAGACCACAAAGCCCACTGAATGTTCCCGAACACAGAGGGACAGAGTTTAGCCCAGAGCCCTTGACAGGAACCTCCATCTGTATTTCTGTTGTAAACCAGCCCTTGGTAAAGGGATGTGTGAATGACCCCATCTTAGGCTTTGAGTGATACTACAGGGGCACATACATGCATGCTATGCACAGACCAAATACACCATAGACATGCCAATGGACACGTCACAACAATGCACACACAGCCCCATCATGAACCAGGTGAAGGCAGAAGTGATTTTCTAAAATGGCTCAGCTTGCCCACAGTGTGCACTAACGCATGTTCCCTACAGAGAACCCACCCCAGGACCCTTGGGGTCCCTGAGAGAATGATAGTAAAGGATGTTCCAGTTGTCCTGGAGGGGTGAGTAGCACGCCACAGCCTCCCCAACACTTAGGCCCAGGGAGTCCTCTAAAACTGACACCCACAGACACTGGGACCCTCTGCAACTGGTTGAAGAGAAAGGAAATAAAAGAGTGTAAGTATTGGGGGAGGATTGAGATGGGAGCCCAGGAAAACCTGCCGCAGGGATAGAAGGGAGATGGGGGACAAGTCAGGGTTTAGAGGGGGACAGTCAGTTGCCTGTGAAGCCTCCCACTCATCATCTGTCTTCCTCATCTCCTCAGCTTAAATGTCACCTCCTCTGAGAGGCCTTCCCAGATCTCCTGGGTTACCCACGTCTGTCTTTCACAGTGCTCTGCATGACTGGTCACTCGGGGAATTTAGATTCTAATTATTGTCTATCTTTTCTTCCTGCGTGGGAGCTTACTGACTGACATTGACCTCCCAGGAACTGGCCAGTGGACAGCGGCCTGGAATGAGGGGCTGGGCCTTGGGCAGAGACTCACCCGGGAGCAGTGTCGAGTGACTGCTAGCACCTCATCGTCCGTCAGCAGCCGCCGGGCCAGGTCCTGAATGAGGGGCCGTCGACTTTCCCAGGCCTGCACCTGCTCATCCACATTGGGCAGCTGGCCAGAGGGGCTTCCGGACCTGGCAGAGAGCAGGGCCCGGCCCCTCTCCCGTTCTGTAGGGCAGGGGTAAGAGGGTGTGATGAAGGTGACAAGAACTGTTAGGGTAAGGTAGAGTTCCTCTTGGCAGGGGTGAGGCTCCAAAGAGACCAGCTGAGAGACTGAGCACCCTGGACAGAATCCCACTGTGACCCTGCTCCCCAACATGGCCTTTCCTAACAAACTACCATCAATAGAGAGCAAACTCCAGCTCCTCCTTCACCGTCATAATAATCTTCCCCCCACTGAAGCACAGACAGGCTCCCTCACCCCCAAATCTCTTCAGGGGTCCCCTCTCTGCCCCCTATCTTTTCTATTAAGCTAACCATGTTCTCTGCCTGATACCACAGGCTCAGCTCTAGAGGAGTCTCGATCAAAGTCGATAAGCTGGCCCCAGCCTGTTCCCGCATTCCCCCATCTGTTGCTTTACTGTGGGGACCTTGGGATACTGGATTTACCACGTCTCAGTCTCCAGGTGACAAACTTCTGCACAGGCCCCACGCTCCCTGCTGTAAAGAAGAAAGAGGTTCAGTTCAGCTGGAACCAGAGTTCCCGTTAGAAGTAGTCAGGGTGGGTACAAGTGCCTTTGTGGGCCTTCAAGGTCAGGCCCAGTTAGGGACTTCATTCATGGGCAGTGGGAGCGGGGGAGAGGTCAGTGAAGGTGGTGGGCCAGGAGAGGAGGCAGTATGAACACACTGCTTACGGAGATTCATTTGGAAAGGAAGGCAGGGAAGAACCCCAAGGACAGAGCTTGGTGGTACCTACCTTGCAGAGACAGAGGGGGAAGGAGGAGCCTTGGAAACAGAGAGGGGAGGGGCCAGAGAGGTGGGCTGAGAACCGTGAGAAAACAACCTGGGAACTGTGAGAAGAGAAAGAGGTGAGGCGAGGGCTGCCTCTGCCTCGACTGGACAGTCACCCTGAGGCCTCTGGACACTTGGCTCTAAGGCGGAGCAACATCCAGCTTCTCATCCTCTGCTTGCTTCCACCTACCCGATGCTCGCTCCCACTTCTGGAAGCAGCACCCTGCTTATCTCCTGGGTGACCCCCTCCATTCTCGGCTGGGCACATGGCCCAGGGTGAGCAGCAAAATCACCTATCTACCGGGAGCTCCTGTCTTGTTCTTCCACTCACGTCACAGTGGTCTGCTCAGCATGACAGATGACCCCAGGAGGCAGAGAGAGCCCTGGCTGACCCTTCAGCTGGAACTGTTTACAAATCTCCCTGTAGGTCAGGTGTGGTGGCGCACGCCTTTAATTCCAACACTTGGGAGCCAGAGACAGGTGGATCTCTGGGAGTTGAAGGACACCGTGGTCTACAAAGTGAGTTCCAGGACAGCCAGGGCTGTTACACAGAGAAACCCTGTCTTGAAAAACCAATAATAATATAAAACAAGCCCAAACAACAAAAACTCCCTCCTGTCCAGGGGCGCTAAGGGACAATGGCCATCTCACCTTCAAGTTGGCAAAGCCTTCTAAGGTGGAGGCACATGCCTGAGGGAGATATGTCTGCTTAGGTATTGTTCCTTCAGATGGGCTAACGTCAGGAGCTGAGCCTAGAAGCACTCTAAAGCCAACTGGACTCGAGTTTCTGTCCCATGCAATTGTGAGTTTTCCCTCATCCATGTTGGGCCTGGAGCCTCGACAGGGCTGACAGGTCCTTAGGAAAACTGCCTGGGGCTGGGGCTGGAACCCGCGGAACAGTGCTTGCCTAGCAGGCCTGGGGCCTGAAGGGTCAATCATCATGACTAATGGGATGGGGACGGTGTCTCCGTTTGAGTCCTTTCCGTCTGAGCCCTGACTGAGCAGTGGCTTTCCTTGGGGACAGTTCTAGAACGGGGTTGGGCCTGTGGAGCTCTGGATGGAGGGTGTGAAGCCAGGAGCCCTAGCAAAGGTACTTCCATCGCCACCACCACCAAAGCACGGGACTCCAAACTGAGCTCAGTCACTTCTTGCTGTGCCTGAGTCTGTCATTTCACCTTTCTGAGGAGATGGAAGATGACAGGATGACAATGGCCACCCGACTTCCGGAGCACCTTGTAGGACCTAGACAAGGTGCTGACTTACAGTCACTCATTCTCTGATTTTCTATATGCCCAAAGAAACGAGTTCTACAGATTTTTTTTTTTTTTTGAGACAGGGTTTCTCTGTGTTGCCCTGACTGTCCTGGATCTCACCCTATAGACCAGGCTGGCCTCGAACTCAGAGATCCGCCTGCCTCTGCCTCCCCAGTGCTGAGATTAAAGGCGTGCTCAACCATGCCTGGCAAGAAATGAGTTTTAACCCTTCCGTTTTACTTGTGAGGGTGAGTGGCGGGGTAGGGTGAGATTTCAACCTGGAACTGCTGGATGGATTCCAGCGCCTACCTTTCTCCAGGTCCAGGCGAGGGCGGACTTTGGTGGGGCTTCTGCTGTCCAGTGTCCAGGCCTCTCTATGCCCGTCCCCTGCTGGCCGCCCCTGCCGCCCTCCCTTGAAGAAGAGGTTCATCAGCGTCTTGGAGCGCTGCAAGGCCCCCTTCTCCCCAGGGGACCCTGACTTCTCCTTCTTCCGCTGTTTCTTCTCCTCTGTAGATATGAGGGAGCCCCCGGGGGGGCTGGAGGGTGGGCAGAAGAGAAGGAGGGGGCAGGGGGATAGGAAAGGGCAGAGAGAGGGAGGCAGACGGGGTCTGCAGCCATTCCAGAGTGGCAGTGGATGGAGTAGGGTCTTCTTCCTGCCTTCCACCTCTCCCCTACCACACAGCTCCAGGGATGCAGGGAATCTACTGTGTCTGTAACTAAACAGGTCTGGTCATTCCAGGCTGGAGGAGTTGGAGTTAGGGCATGTTTGGGGCCCAGAGCTTATCAGTTTGGGGGCTGGGACTGAGGCTGGGTTTGGGGCCAAGGCCTGTTTATGAAGGAAAGCCTAGAGCAGGATCTGCGGATATTCTGGGACCTGGAACTCGGCCTAGGCCCTGGGATTTGGGCAAAGGCAGATTTGGGATTGCTCCTTGGTGTGTTAGGCAGGCTTTGTTTGAACTAGGGACTGTGGGGAAAGTGGGACCCTCCCAACATACCCCACAGTGTCAGGTGGCTCTGGGATCGGGTGATGGGAGGCCTGGGTCGGCTGAGGGCCAGCAGCAGAGCCGTCTTGGGCGACTCTGACAGTGCAGAATCAAGGCGTCGGACAGAAGAGGGACCATCAGAGCGGATGGCCGTGTCCCTGAGGATGACGGTCGGCCGTACACTGCACCAAGTTTCCACTCGGCTGCCCATATCAGGCTCAGTCTGCATGGCCGTGTCTGCCCGCCCCCAGCCTGGGCCATGGCCACCGGGCTCCTCGGGCCCTAGGCAGACGTCCATGCGGTCAGAGGGTAGTGAGCCTGAGCTGCACGGGGCACTGGAGGCGTAGGAGGAGACACTGGAGCCACTCTCCGAGGCTGGGGACAGCTGCTGCAGCACCCCACTGCTCACTGCAAGGGAGAGGAAGCAAGGTCGCTCAGGGGGACCGGGCCACGCTCACACACTACCCTTGGGCTTTGGGGTGGGTCAGAGACATCAGCTGCTCAGACTGTCATCTATATCAGGGAGCCCTGGGAAGTCACTTCTTTCCTCACCCACGGGGACTTGAGGCCTAGAAGACCCTGGCATTGAGTCTGGAAATCCTCGGTGAAGGCTATAAGCAGCTCTGGGCTGCAAGAAGGTCCTGAGGGCATCTTGGTCCCTCTCTTTCTTTTCCCAAGGAGTCCAGCCCCACCCTCGGGCTCCTCCCTTTCATCTCTGAGGACTTACATCTGTCCAGCCAGCAGTACTCAGAAACCATCTCTTTGTAGGCAGGGTACCGGCCCGTCTCCTGGAGAAGACATGGCGGGTATTGGAGGAGCAGGAGAGAGGTCAGGAGGAATCCGTCCCTCTCCACTGGGTCCATCCGGCTTACTTTCTTTTTTTTTTTTTTTTTTGTTTTTGTTTTTGTTTTTTGAGACAGGGTTTCTCTGTGTAGCCCTGGCTGTCCTGGATCTCGCTCTGTAGACCAGGCTGGGCTCAAACTCACAGAGATTCGCCTGCCTCTGCTTCCTGAGTGCTGGGATTAAAGGTGTGTGCCACCACCGCCCAGCCGGGCTTACTTTTTTTTTTTTTTTTTTTTTTTTTTTTTTTTGGTTTTCCGAGACAGGGTTTCTCTGTGCAGCTTTGCGCCTTTCCTGGAACTCACTTGGTAGCCCAGGCTGGCCTCGAACTCACAGAGATCCGCCTGGCTCTGCCTCCCGAGTGCTGGGATTAAAGGCGTGCGCCACCACCGCCCGGCCGGGGCTTACTTTCTAAACGTGCTGATTTCCTTTGTAGCTCAGGCCTTTGCTCCTGTTCACTTTTCTCCTCCCTGTGCTAATCACATGGCTAGCTTCGTTCTTTGACTGTCACTGCCTGGGCGACTCTCCTCTGGCCTTGATACAAGCCCTTCCTCAATTACCCCACTCCCCTTCTGCTAATTTCCTGATAGCATTTGTCAAAATCTGATGCTCACTGTCCCCCAGGAGCAGAGAGGCCTTGTTGGTCCACCCTGATCTCTGTGCGGCCCAGCACCTTACCTCATAGGTGCTCAAAAATACTATCGAACAGCCAGGCGGGGTGGCTCTACCTGGAATACTGGGTTCCCTAGTGCCTGGGACCCGAGAAAGGAGGAGCTGGAGTTTGGGGCCAGATGTGGCTATACAGAAAAATCTAGCCTGGGCTACCTAGTGAGATTCTCGAAAAACAACACACACACACACACACACACACACACACACACACACACACACACACACACACACAGAGGCACAGAGTTATCAACTGAATTGGGGAAGAGCTGGAGTTAGGAAGAATGCTCCAGATAATTAGAAAAGGGAAGCTGAGCCGGGCGGTGGTGGCGCACGCCTTTAATCCCAGCACTCGGGAGGCAGAGCCAGGCGGATCTCTGTGAGTTCGAGGCCAGCCTGGTCTCCAAAGTGAGTTCCAGGAAAGGCGCAAAGCTACAGAGAAACCCTGTCTCGAAAAACAAAAAAACAAAAAAAACAAAAAAAAAAGAAAAAAAAAAAAGAAAAGGGAAGCTGTACGTGGGAGAGATGGCAGTAGAGGTCAGGAGGTAGCCAGTGAAGTGCTGGATGACGCTGGGTGACAAGCCGGGAGAGAGAGGGCAGAGCAGGGAGCCTGGTGGACCCCGGGGAAGAGTGAGTCACCACCCCTGTGCGCAGATAAAGACCTTAAGGAGGCGTGAGAGCCACATGAACAATGAAACCAACCACCTCCTAGGAACCCCAATCTCTGCTGTACCCCAGGGATCCACACAGCTGAGGTCTTGCACACAGCTATAGCTCCCACTCCATGCATTAGTCTTCACCTTGAGGCCTTCCCCCATACCCAAGGAGAGCTACAATGCTAGAAATACAGGGAGCCAGACCAGAGCCAGGCCAGGCCACTGACCAGCTGAGTGACAACCGACAGCTGCGTCTCTAAGCCTCAGTTCCCTCTTTCGCCAAATGGAAAGAGTTTCTGCTCTCTCTTCCATGTGGCTGTGGAGTTGCCACTAGTGGCAGGGCAAGCAGTCTAGTTAAGAGCTAGGGTGTTCTGGGAAGTTCCAGACCTAGTCTGGCCTCTCCCTGCGGGAGATAACGGGATATCATCCGGCCCACCTTGATGGTCAGCATTATGTGCGTTTGGCCCTTCAGCACCTCCACGGCCTGGCTGTGGCTGATGTCATCGAACCTGACCCCATTGGCCGCCAGGACCTGGTCTCCCACTTTAATGCCATTCTCCTCAGCCAGCCCACCGTGATCCACTCTGGAGATAGACAGGTGTGGCTTGATAAGACCCTGGCCCGCCTCCCTCCCCCTAATCCAGACCCCCTTCACTTGGCTATGGGAGTGCCCACCTACACCCCTTGGGCCTCTTCTGATTGACAACACCCTTTCCCCAGGCGCTATCCTGAAGGGCCAAGCCTCATGTGTCGACCCATCCCCAAACTGCACTTCCAGCCCCGCCCCAGCCCCACACCCAGCTGCTCCGGTTCACCCTAGCACTCACTTAGATACATAGATGCCCAGGCCAAACTCCTTGCCCCCGCGGATGTTGAAGCCTAGGCAGAAGTCGTCAGAGGTTGTGTAGAGGTGGACGATACGCCGCACACCGTCTTCTGAGCTGCTGTCCGATGGTGTGGAACTGCACTTCTCCACCACTAGCCGCCGGTTCACTACATCCACCCTGCCGAAACACAAGAGGCCCTGACCCCAGGTCCCCCAGGAACAGCCAGTCTAAAAGCCTTGGCAACTGATTGGGAAAGGGATGATTCCCTTGCGGCGGGGGAGAGGACTTCTCCTGGCCCAGAGTCTTCAGTGGAATATAGGTTTCATCAAACCCGTGAAACACCCCTTCACCTTTCCCTACTAAGTAGTGCAACGTGTGGAGGCCCCTTTCCCTTTTCTGTTTTGGTTTTGATGCTGTGGATGGAGCCCAAGGCCTGCCTGGACTGTGCTAAGTGTCTCCTTTACCACTATCTCTGCCCCAGAGCCCCAGAGCCCCATTTCTGATCCTTACAAGTTCCCGTGGGGAGATACCCAGAGAGTGCAGGGCTCAGTGCTAGAGAGTAGGAGCCACTGGGCAGGGGCAGGGGACATGGGTGGTGGTGGTGTGGTGGTGGTGGCAGCGGTGGTGGTTTCTGAGCAAGGCTGGGTGCTACTCACCACGTGGTCTTCTCCTTGGAGAACTTGATGCCAGGCACACGGCCCATGCGCCGCACCATCATGTGCAGGCAGCTGCTGCTGGTCAGCAGCCTCACAGCACTGCCCATCGTGGTACTTTCTAGACTCAGCCCATTCACCTCCGTGATCTTGTCCCCCACACACAGGCCAGCCCGCTCTGCACCGGAGTAGGGGAAGGGTCAGTGGGTTGCCCACGTCCGTTGACACTAGGCTGTGTCCCCTAATCCACTCAGCAAGAGAGGGCTCTACCTCCCATCCGTTCCCACCCTCAGAGCAGAGGTGGCTCCTACCCTTGGCCACCTAGTTTCGGCTACCCACTGAAGAGGTGGCACACCCCAGGCTGTGCTCCCCCTAAGGGCCCCCTGCTCACCTGCACTGCTCCCCTCCTCCACCCTGCTGACGAAGATGCCCAGGCCATGCTCGGAGCCGCCTCTCACGCTGAAACCTAGCCTCCCAGAGGGGCTCTTCTCCACCCGAACTGCATGGATGATGTCACTTTCATCACTGTTGGCTGTGAAGATGACCACACAGGTATGACCTCCATGTTAATTCTGGCAATTGAGCATCTGGGGTCCCTAACTTGGTGTCTGCAAAGGCTAGGCTTCTGTGCAGAGCCACCCAGATGATGCACAAGGCCCCACATGGAGATGGTATACAAGTCCCCTCTGGGTAGTTCTGAGACCACAGGTCAGAACACGTGAGAACAGCTCAATTAGATTCCATGCTTTTCTTTTGTGCTTTTCTTTTGTGCTCTCTCTCTCTCTCTCTCTCTCTCTCTCTCTCTCTCTCTCTCTCTCTCTCACACACACACACACACACACACACACACACACACACACACACACACAGAGACAGAGAGAGAGAAAGAGAGTTCTCTGGATTCTTACGTCCAATCTCTGAAAATTTGCCATTCTGAAATAATGGAAGGTTCCAGGTTCCGTTGTGGGGAGTCTGGGCTGTCAGCTTGCAACAGAATCAGCTCTAACTTCAAACAGCTGTGGAGCAAGCCCTAGAAGTCGTTAGATGCTCAGAGTCACTTAAGGGCAGAACCAAGCCCGCCCAGAGGAGTCAGACAGGGACAGATTTTCTTCTTTGGGACAGACAGTAAGGCTCTCCATCTGGAGGCGTGAAGACTGAAACTCGGTAAATCCCCGACCCGGACCTTACGGAAGAACAGCTGAGGCCTCTTCTATAGACTCCGATTCTAGGGGGACAGCTCTAGGGACTACATGGCTACCTGAGACAGACCCTCTAATTCAGCATGCTGCAGTGTCTCCCGAGAGCCCAGAGCAGGGCCCAGGGAAGGGGCAGAGGGGTGGTTCCATAGAGAAATGAGACCGGAGAGATTTGGGCATCGAAAAGAGAGGAGGTCATGTGTGAGCTCAGAGGTCAACGACCTTCAAGACAACCTCTGGGTGAAATTGACAAGAGTGCTAGGCAGGCTGCTACCAGGTCAATGGGAGATTCACCTTTCCTTCAGGCAACGTTTACTCCAGAGCTATTTGAGAGGGAGAGAACACACACACACACACACACACACACACACACACACACACACACACTTCAATTCGGTCTATCAGGTTTCAATGTGTGGCCAGGACAGATGGGGCTGAAATCTCCAAGGCCAGTCTGGACAGGGGTGGTACAGGACAAAGACAGGGACCCTGGGGCTTCCTAACCAGTTGTCATTACACAGTTCTCAGGCCCCATTAGCCTTATCTAAAAAGCCTTAAGCTCTCTGCCCACAATCTGCTTTGTCCTCCATGTCCCCTTGGGGACCCTATGACATCCCTGGGCCATTGGGATGTTACATCTGAGCCTTTGTTTGTTTTAGTTTTTAGTTTTCAAGAGCAAGTCTCACTGTGTAGCTCTGGCTGTCCTGGAACTCACTATGTCGACTAGGCTGGTCCCAAACTCAGAGATCTGTTTGCCTCTGCCTCCCAAGTGCTGGGACTAAAGGTGTGCACCACTATGCCCTGCCACATCTGAGCTTTGAGGTTCTCTGAGGATAGATCCCCTCCCCCTCACCTGACCTAACTAGGCTGCTCATCATCCTCCCTGCAGCTTCCTAGCCACCTCTTTCCATTACTACACGGGAACTGAGCATACTGTATCAGCTATTCCTGCCTGTTTTAGAACTCTAGGCTGTCCCTGGCCCTGTACAGCTCTCCCTGTCTTCCTCTGCCACCTGGCGGCCCTCCCTTCATCAGTGGGCTTCAGCCATTCTGGGGGTTTTTGTTTTTTTAGGTACACAGTGCTCTGTCTGCATGCATGCCTGCATACCAGAAGAGGGCATCAGGTCCCACTATAGACGGTTGTGAGCCACCACGTGGTTGCTGGGAATTGAACTCAGGACCTCTTGAAGAGCTGCCAGTAACCTCTGAGCCATCTCTCCAGCACCCATTCTGAGGTGTTTTTGTGTCTCATGTGAGCTGGAAACTGTCTCCTCCTGTAACATTCTCACTTTGGCTTGGGGGGCGGAGCTCGGCTCCTTATCCTCATCCCCTCTCATCTTAGACCTCACCTTCTCAGAGTGGCATGGTGGACCAGGGCATGGTGTCAGACTGGCAGACACTGCATCACTGGAAAACCTGTGAACCTGAGAATCCTGAGGGCGTCCTGGCTGACTCACAGCCCTGAGGGTGAGGAGCTTGGGGCCTTGTGTGTTAGGCCAGGCCTCTGCCACACTGAGCTACCTTCCCAGTCTTTGTTATTTTGAGACATAGTTCTGCTATGTCGGCCATGTTGACCTTGAAGAGACCACTGCAAGGGCTGGGGTAGTGAGTAGGCACCACCAGGCCTAGCTCTAATTTTTGTTTGTTTTGGGTTTGTTTTGTTTCAGTTTAAGAGCTAGGCACAGTAGCCTAGACATACCATCTTATCACCTAGAAGACCGAAGCCTGTGGATGGGGAATTCAAGGTCAGATCTAGTGAAACTCTGTCTCCAAAGCAAACGAGCCAGTGCAGCTTTCCAGGGCTGTAAGCTCAATACGCTGAAGCGGAGGCAGGACTGTCACAGGTTTGAGGCCGGTCTGGTCTACATGCCAGCCAATACTATATGGCGAGAATCTATCTTTAAAAGAAACAACAGCAAGGGGGCTGGAGAGATGGTTGCTCATCCAGAGGTCCTGAGTTCAAATCCCACCGTCCACATGGTGGCTCACAAACATCTATAGTGGTGGTGCATGCCTTTAATCCCAGTGCTAAGGAGGCCGAGGCAAGAGATCTCTGAGTTCAAGCCCAACCTGGTCTACAGAGTGAGTTCCAGGACAGTCAGAACTACCCAGAGAAACTCTGCCTCAGAAAATCAACTCCCCCCAAACAAAACAAAACAAGAAGATATTTAATTATGTCTTTTATGTATGAGTGCTCCTTCTGCATGCTGACAGAAGAGGGGATCTGATCCCATTACAGATGGTTGTGAGCTACCATCTGGGTGCTGGAGATTGAACTCAGGTCCTCTGGAAGAGCACCGGTACTCCGAACTGCTGAGCCATCTCTCCAACCCCGTTCCCAAATCAATCTTTTTTAAAATTACATTTATTAGTTTATTGTGTGTGTATGCACCCACACATGTGTATGTCATGGCACAGGTGTGGAAATCAGAGGACTACTTTCAAGAGTCAGTTCTTTAGTACAATGTGGTCCTGGGGATTAAACTCGGGTCATCAGGCTTGGCAGCTGGTGTCCTTACTCACTGAGCATCTCATCAGCACACCACTCCCCCCAAATCTGTCTTCTAGCAAGCTCTCCCAGGCAATCCTGGCCTGCTCTGAAGTTTTAGGAACATTTTTATGTCTACTGGTCACCATGATTTTTCCTTCAGAATTTTTCTAGCCTGTGTCTTACTGCTTTTCTGTGCATTATTTACTGTCTTTCAGGAGCCTGCGAGCTTAATCATGGGACTTCGAGGTTCTTTCCCACCCATACATCCCTAGTACGTTGCACAGTGCATAGCATCTGATAAGCATTTCTGGATAAATAAACAGATGAGCTAATGAATGAAAAAATGAATGAGCAAACTAGGAGAGGAGAAAGGGCTGGTTAGAAACTAGGAGAGGAGGAAGGGCTGGGTCATGTCGGGCGGTGGTGGCGCACGCCTTTAATCCCAGCACTCGGGAGACAGAGGCAGGCGGATCTCTGTGAGTTTGAGGCCAGCCTGGGCTACCAAGTGAGTTCCAGGAAAGGCGCAAAGCTACACAGAGAAACCCTGTCTCGGGGGGAAAAAAAAAGGGTCATGTCTCCTGCCTTCTTGTCCTCCGGGGATTTCTGCTTCTTGGTCAGAGTGGCAATAGTGACCTCAGCAGTGCCTTGCTGCTTGTCTGAGGGCGGGACCTACCGTGGTCAATGAGCGTGCCAGCCATATCCTGGGCAGCTCACCCCACCCCTGCCCGGCTGACTTTGGAAGGGGACAGAGGCTCCTAGTTGGATCAGAGGAAACACCAGGCCTGAAAGTTCACTCTGGGATCCAGCCAGGGGAGCTGTGCTGGCTAAGAAAGAGGAGAAGACTTGGAGATATTTATCTGGTCCTGTCCACAGAGCCCGGTCCCACAGGGCTCGCTCCCCTCCTGGCTTTCAAGGCTCTGTCTTGCTCACAAGCTTTTGCCGCCTCACATCTGTCACTGTAGTCCAAGCATTGTCCCATCATGCTTCACGCTTTTCATCTCTGACTTTTGTGTGGGATAGCTGCAACCCCACCAGCCGTTCTTGTTGCTGCGTCTCTACACTCCTGAAAGGTGAAGCCTGGGCTTCATCTCTCTAGGTCCCCTGCAAGAGCTAAGCAGGGTGGACACAGAATTGGTGTGCGATGACACAGTGCCAGGCAGCCATCCACAGTCATTCTCTCCTAAGGACCCAGCTCTGGGGTACACTCCCTGACACTCCCTGTTGGTCCCCCCCTCCCTTTTTCTGAACATAGGCTGCTGTGTCTTCAGGCCCCTCCCCCATACCCCGAAGCCTGGACACCGACTCTCCATAGTCCAGCACCGAGCTGGTCACACAACTGATTGGTTGGTGTACGTACAAATGGGTCAGGAGAAAGTCGGAGTTCAAGGGATGCAGCACCTGACTCAGCACCCTGCCTTGTGAATTCCTGGGGCTAACATATGTCTTTTCCTTACACAAAGGTTTCATCTCCCACCTCTGATCCTTCTACTGCCCTGAGGCCTTAAAATATTGGCTGGAGGAGAGGCAGGCAAGTGTAGATGAAAGATGATCCCCTTCCCTAAGACTCCATCTCTTGAATTCCCCTAACTGTACTAGTCTAACCAACCTTCATCCGAATTGTCGGTCCCTGATGTCCTCAGTAATCCCCATCTAAGCCACTCTTGGGCCCCACACCCACCTTCAATGGGGGAGTTGATGAGGATGACTCGGCCCATGGGTGATGAGGCTCGGATTCCGCGGGGGGGCCCATTCAGCAGGCGCTGCTGCTTCCTCAGCAAGTATCGTGTTGCTGTGGAGCCTGGGTCGCTGCCCAGGTGGCCTCGGGAGGAGAGGGAGCTCAGAGAACCAGAGCTGAGTTCTCCTAGACCCAATGGGTCAAAGCCCACTGTGAAACCACGTGCCATGGTGGTGAGGCTGGGGGCAGTGCCCTACAGGTCCAGATGGAGTCTGCTTGTCCTCCAGAGGTTGGCTGCTGACGTCCCAGGCTCCATGTTCTCTGTAGGGCTGGAGTCTCAGGGAGGCAGATGGAAGCCCTCAGTCTCAATGCGTCTCAGAAGTGTGGGTTCCAAATCTGCGTAGGAAGAACAGGGTTTGGGGGAGAGGCGTGAGTGCTGTACTATTACCCAGCGCTCCACACTTCCCCGTGCCTTGAGCATCCTGCCTTCTCATTTCTTGGGACCCTCACCTCTCCCACCCTGGGGCCAGAGGAAATCTGCTCAGTTCAGAACCATCTTGGATTTGGGGGGCTTTTTCTATGAGGCCGTTGGGGTGTTTCTCTTTCACCTTTCACTGCCGCTCTCAACCGAGTCACCCACCAGTCTCCAGTCCTCCAGAGAGTGGAGACGGGATTACAGCAACTTTAAAAAGAGCGAGAAAAATGGGTGTCCGGCCAGTTGACTGCAGCATCTTTCCTGTGTATGTGTACGTGGGTAGGGGTTAGCCTCTAGAGCTGGACTTCAGGACCTGGGACAGCTGCAGCCGAGCTTGCCCCCACCGCCACCCCCAGGGGACCGCCAGGCTCCAGGCTGCGGCTGCGGATCTAAAGCTGCTGAAAGACCCTATTCCGTGACTGCGCGATCTGCTAGAGAGAGCCCCACAATCGCTAGTGCAAAACCGGGGGCCGCGTCCTCTGGAGCATCTCTGTGACCCAAAAAACAGACTCCCCCGTGGGCCCTCCTGCCCCGCTACCTCTAGGACTCGGCCCCCTCACCTGGTCGCTTGCGCAGCCGCCCGCTTTGCCCGCCGGCGAGCGTGAGACACTGAACCCGCTAAGGACCCCGCCCACGCTCGGTGCGGCTGCGGGAATAAGGCTGGCCCCCCGCACGGCCCTGGGATCCCATTGGCTGCTGAGACCGCCAGTCATTCTTTTCTGGCACCTGTGGTAGCCGGTCCGGATTGTAGCTAGTCACCTGCCTGGTACCTCTGGGCTCTGCCCGCCCCAATTCTGAACCCCACCGATCGTTGGAACCTAGGGCAGCTCTGGAGCCCCGCACTGGCGACTAGAATCACGTCTTCTCCAGGCCACCCTACCTTCCTGGGCTCGTGAAATTGCCATCCCTTTGGTAGTCACTCCGGAGGTCTGCCTGTGGGAGAATGTCACGAGCAAAAGAGCCGAATGTGGACCTGAGATGAGCAGGAACGAAAACTGGAGCCTGGGTGTGCAGCGGCCGTGATCTGGGTGCTAATGGGTGAGGTGTGTGTGTGTGTGTGTGTGTGTGTGTGTGTGTGTGTGTGTGTATGTATGTATGTATGTATGTATGTGATGCCTTCACATCCTCAGTCGAAAAAGTGTTTCTCTGGGCACCCTGTTCTGGAAAGTCTGCAAGACAGAGCAGCTGATCCCCAGCACACCAGGAGAGGAATCTTTCTGATGCTCAAGCTTGGATGCAAGCAGAGATCACGGGAGACTGGCCGTGCACATCCCAGGGGCTGGAGCTTCAGTGTTGGGGGAGTAAGGAAACTGCTAGCACAATGGAGCTGGGGGTTGGGTGGCAAAGAGGGGTGGGGACACAGGAGCGCAGGCACCACAGGAATGTGGCTGGGAAGGGATGTGATGGTGAGGATCTGCGAGAGGAGCCCATAGGTCCTGAAATAGCAGACCAGGGGGCCAAGCAGGCAGAGAGGCCCATTGCCAAGGCAGCCATCAAGTAAACAAGCAGTAACCCGAGTCCCTCCGGGCGGCGCACCGACAGAGGCCCGCCCTCCACGCCGCTCACCCGCGCCCAGTGCACCTAGACCGAGTGCTGCTGGGTCGGGTGCCTCCCGAGGCAAGCCAAGGGACTGCAAGTGAAGGAGGCGAGTGGGGCGGCTCCTCCCCTCCTCTCTCTTGTTGGGAAGGCGGCCAGAACTGCTTCCCACGACTGGGTCGGGTCTGGTCTCAACGGCCTGGTCGGGGGGAGTCCCTCCATGTGACATCCACGGCCCCGGAATTCTGCCAAGCCGGGGGCGGGCTGGGCGAACGAGCCTAGGGAGCCCCCGCCCTTCCCTGCTGCTCAGCGTCACGCGTGACGTCCCGGTGATGGCTGGGAGGAAAGCAAGAGAGCTGTGAGGAAGGCGGGTCTGAGAGCAGCTAGAGCCTGAAAACCCCGGAAAGCGTGAGTGTTTGCTGCCTTGGGAATCTTCAGAGGGTGGGGGTGAGGGCCTAGGGTCAGAGGAGGAGGCTTGCTTTAAAAGGAGCTCTCTGTCTGGTGGGAATTCCATAAGGCAAGGTCTGCTAGGACCTGCAGGGCACAAGGAAGGGTTGGTTGGGTGAGGCTAAGTGTAGGCAGGCATACTTTAAAATATCTGCACCTGATAGATATTGCTCGTGTGTGTGTGTGTGTGTGTGTGTGTGTGTGTGTGTGTGTGTGTGTGTGTGTAACGGTATTCTGGCTGGTTGGCTAATGTATACAGTGTGGGTCTAACTTGTTTGTGTGCCAAGGAGGGCGTGCATGTCTTTGTGCGTGGGTATGTGAGAGTCGGGTAGGGGCGTTGTCTGCTGTTGAGGAGGAAGTGGAGTTGGAGGGGATTAGTCATTCTGCAGGATTTTTGCCTAGCACAGCCAGATGGCTGCTTCTGACATTCCCTTTTGTGCTGAGTGGAGGGGCAGGCACTTAATCTTGCCCTTTCCCGAGGTAGATGGCTCAGGGGGAGTTGCATGGGTATCTGTGTCAGCCCTATGCAACCAGGGACCAGGGAGAGTCCTGGGTTATTGTGCAGGAGTTGAAGCAGATGGGTTTGAAGGGGATGTGTGCATGCTCTCATACTCACAAATGGCTGCCACTCGAGGGCTCTGAGATCTGGTACTGATCAGCCCTCAGGTGGCTAGTGATCCTGGTCTCCTCCAATCAGGGCCTTGAATGTGGGATGTCATCTTCCCAAACAGCCTTGGAAGTTTTCTTATCTAGGTTTTAGAGCAGCTGAGGCCTGAAGCTGGAATGGACTTGGCTGTGTTATCCGTGTCCTATGCTCCTACAGCCGGAGCTCAAGATAGCTGGCCCGGATTAGTTGCTGCCGTTGAACCAACCACACACATGTAAATCCTCACCATGTAAAATCTGCACCAGGCCGAAGCATGAGGGAAGCTATATATTCTTGGTTCTGGTCTTCCCTCCGCCTCCTCTGTAGCTATAGGTCCCTGGCTAAAACACTACCTAGGAAAACAACTCCTCCCCCACCTTACCTATCTGGAGTCACCTTGAGCTCTTGCAAGGACTGGTCATAGTTTCTGGAAGCAGGGCAGAGCCACCAAAGTTTTCCCCGAGTGAAGTGCTTGGACCTGATCCTCGCTCTTGTCCCCTTGCAGATGGGTGACTTGCCCTTAGATATCAACATCCAGGAGCCTCGATGGGACCAAAGCACATTCCTAGGCAGAGCCCGGCACTTCTTCACAGTTACTGACCCTCGAAATCTGCTGCTGTCCGGGGACCAGCTGGAAGCTTCCCGCAACATTGTGCAGAATTACAGGTGAGCCTGCCTCACACCAGATGATAGTGACACAGCACTTTAGCTCAAAGGATTTTAGGACATTTGGGTTGAGGAGACAGCGTTGGATTATGGGTAGGCAGCAGCTCTGCAGTTCACAGATCCCCTTTAATGACCATTCCCAGTGCTGTCCACTCCGCAAGGACAGAGGGGCCCGAAGGAGAGTTCCAAGCAGACAGACAGGCAATAACCCTCTTCTCCTCTGGAGGTTTAACTCTTGCAACGCCCCCAGTCATTTCAGACCCTTTGAAAACCACCATCACCGTGACCCTGAAGAAAATGTGGGACCACAAAAGATGCAGAAAGAGCAAAGTACACATATGAGAGGCGTTTGGCCTCCTCTGTGGACAAGGAGCTCCTTTACTCTGGGGTTGAGTGTCAAAGTTCCTGGTCCATTGCCCAGAGTTCCCTGAGGCAAGCAGCAGAGTCAGGAAGGACAGGTCTGACCCCTACAACAGCCTGCTGGTTCTACAGGGCTGGTGTGGCAATCCCGGGGCTCACTGAGGACCAGCTATGGAGAGCCAAGTATGTGTACGACTCTGCATTCCATCCGGACACAGGGGAGAAGGTGGTCTTGATTGGCCGCATGTCTGCCCAGGTGCCCATGAACATGACCATTACTGGGTGCATGCTCACCTTCTACAGGTAAGTGTCATCCCACGTCCCCGTCCTGAGCGTTGTGTCCCAGAACACGGCTGGGTGACTAGAAGTCACTTTCTGCACCCTTTTGGGTAAAGAACAGTGTGTGTGTGTGGGGGGGGATGTGTAAGAATTCTTTCCATTTCTCAGAACCTCGCCTCCATTTGTGTAAGGTGTACCTGTGAGGGTGACAAGGGCAAGTTCTGGGACCATCAGTTAAGTCCCTCTTGAGGAGTTAAGGAACTCTGAGGGTTTCAATATTAGGTGTTTGGGGGGCTGGAGAGATGGCTCAGTGATTAAGATTATTGGCTGGTTGTCCAGAGTATCTGGGTTCAAATCCCAGCACTCACATGGCAGCTCACAACTTTCTATAACTCATGTTCCAGTGGGTCGGACTTCCTCACGCACACATGCGGGTCAAACACCAGTGTACATAAAAAGTAAAAACAGCCGGGGCAGTGGTGGCGCACGCCTTTAATCCCAGCACTCGGGAGGCAGAGGCAGGCGGATCTCTGTGAGTTCGAGGCCAGCCTGGTCTACAGAGTGAGTTCCAGGAAAGGCACAAAGCTACACAGAGAAACCTTGTCTCGAAAAAGCCATAAAGAAAGTAAAGACATAATTTAATATTGGGGGTTCAAGAATTGGGGATACTGTGGAGGGACAGACATAAGTAGTCTATCTTTGCACCCTCAGGAAGACTCCGACTGTGGTGTTCTGGCAGTGGGTGAACCAGTCCTTCAACGCTATTGTGAATTATTCTAATCGCAGTGGGGATGCTCCCATCACCGTGCGGTGAGAACCCCCCTTCCCAGCTGTTCCTGGTCTTGTGGACCCCTGTGCCAGGGGCTCAGCTCTCCTTTCAGCTACATGTTTGACTGACTACCACCTCAGGGCGCTCAGTCCGTTTGTATATGTTTTGGAGGACCCACTCCAGATGGCTCAGTAGTTAAGAGCACTGGCTGCTCTTCCAGAGGTCCTGAGTTCAATTCCCAGCAACCACATGGTGGCTCACAACCATCTGTAGTGGGATCTGATGCCTTCTTCTGGCATGCAGGTGTACATGCAAGTAGAGTACTCCTATACATAAATAAATAAATCTTTAAAAAAAAAAAAAAGGAGGAGGACTTTCATATAAGTTTACACTGGAGTAGGGGGTGGGGCTTTCAACGAGGCTACCCTCCAACACCCCCTGCATTGGAAACACGTAATGTCCTT